GGCTCGATCTCACGAACTGTGAGATCATGACGTGAGTTGAAATCAAGAGATGGACACTTAACCAAGTGAGCCATCCAGGCCAAACATGCTGTATTTTAAGCAAGCAAATTGTATGCACTATTAAATTATCAACCAAACTACAACTTGGCTTTTACTAGACCAGAGTGACTATCAAAGCAATAAATTTTAAGTTTTGCTTGGCAAATCAATTTCATTGCCATATTCTTTTCCTTCCTTCCTTCCTTCCTCCCTCCCTCCCTCCCTCTCTTCCTCCCTCCCTCCTTCCTTTCTTCCAAATGTTACACAAAAATAAGGCAATATTTGGGCACCAATGCTCTTGGAACCTAATGTAATCTCCCACCCTCCCCCCTTCAGAAGTGTGTCATGCCCTGTCCCTACAGTGATCTGTTTTCTTTTCTGCATATTTCTTCCCAATGACAGCTTTGCTTCTCCCTGCCTCCAACAGTGATTAGTTCACAAACCACCTTATGGTTGAGTCCAAAAGCTTTGCCCAAAGGGACACACAACTGGCAGAAACAGCAAAGAGAAAGTATCCCTGTTTCAACATTAATAAAAAAAACTTTTTACCACAACACCAATTATAATTTCTTTACTTACGATGACATCAGATTTTAGTCTTGACAAAACTGATAAAGCTCTAGGCATTTGTGACTGGATAGTCTTAGGATCCTTTCCGCCCCCCTTCATTACATAGAAACTAGTACTGTTTTATTTTAGGTGCTTGGCAGTGACAAAATACCAATAGAGGCCAAAGCCAAATCCAGTGAAGGAAGGCAATCTGGTTTAGATTTTCCCACTGAACTTTACCAAGGCTGGGCTTCTCCTGGGAGATAGTCTGAACTGTTTCATTTCTGCCAGCGTTATTATAATTTTGCAAAGTAACTTTAATGTTATTGTTTACTGATAATAGTCTAAGTAAAAATAAACTACTGGTGAACACAATTCAATTTTAATGAAATTAATGGAAAAGTTTTATTTCTATCTCCCTAAGTATTCTCGTTCCTTCAGTGAAGGAACTCCTTCCTGAACTTCAACCATCTTTTCAGTGTTTCTACTGGATTTATTATTTATTATTTATTATTTTTTGAAGTTTATTTTATTATTTATTATTATTATTTATTTGAGGCGGAGGGACAGAGAGAGAGGGAGACAGAATAAAAGTAGGCTCCAAGCTGTCAGCACAGAGCCTGACACAGAGCTTGATACCACAAACCATGAGATCATGACCTGAGCTGAAATAGTCAGACGCTTAACCAACTGAGCCACCCAGGTGCCCCACCCTACTACAATCGGAGATCCATCCCTTACCAGCATGCTTTCAATTTGCCCTTCCAGGAGTTCTCATTCATTTTCATTAGTATGATACAATTCATGTCAAAAGAACACAGTTCTGCACAAAGTGGTAATCACCTAGCACTTCTATACGTTGTGAACAAAGATAGGCTTTTATTAAAGATATCGATATGGCATTCAGGTACAGTACATTTGGCTTGAACAAAAATATGCAGATTTTTGTTGCAATTTGATTGATGACTTTTGCTTGGGTTTCCTCTCTATTACATATACTGAAATTCTTTGTAGGTGACTACAATAAAAAAAAAAGTATTTTCCTCTCCTTGCAAAACCCAAACAGTGAAAGAAAGTCATACATTACCTTTCACCATGAGGCCTTTGACTTTGTCCTCTAATGCGTTTTGAGAGAGTCTATCATTAATTTAGATGAGGAGCACAGAGCCTTTCTGTTCCCTTAAGTGTTTTAATGCTTCATTTCTAGAGATGGACTATATGTGTAGCTCTCTGAAGCTGTTCTTTGTGAGAAGTAAAATAGTTCCTCACAGGGGCGCCTGGGTGGCTCAGTTGGTTAAGCATCCAACTTCGGCTCAGGTCATGATCTTACAGTTCGTGGGTTTGAGCCCCATGTTAAGCGCTGTGCTGACTGCCAGCTCAGAGCCTGGATCCTGTTTCAGATTCTGTGTCTCCCTCTCTCTCTGACCTTCCCCTGTTCATGCTGTCTCTCTCTTTCTCAGAAATAAATAAAATGTAAAAAAAAATTTAAAAAAATAGTTCCTCACAAAAAGAGAAGTGACATTTCTAGTGAACAATGAAAGCCTGGTAAATGTACTTAGTGTTTCTTCGAAGAGTTCATGCTTTGCACATGGGAGCATGGCTTGCTCCTAGAAACATACTACCCTGTGGCTGGCCATTTTCTTGTCAATGTCAACCTGTGTCCCCTTTAACCACTTCACTATACTGCAGCTGTTTTATCCTGACCACCATGGACTTCCTCCTTCCTTTCTGCTATTACAACAGGGTCATTCACTCCTTTCTTTCTCTCTCTTTTTTAAAGAAATCTTTTCCTCTGCATCTGTGCCTGGGAATGTTCATACTCTTGCTTTTCCCTCACCAGCTCTGGCTGAGTTCATTGTTTTACCTATTCTTTCTAATATACACGTCTTTGCATTAAGGCTACAAATGGACAAGAAATGCTTGAGTCCGAAAACAATAAATCACTAAACAAAAGCGAGGAATGGGACATTTCTTTTTCATCTAGAGTTAATTTCTTCCTGTTTTCTTTGGTTTCATCTTTTTTTAAATGTTTATTTATTTCATTTGAATGAGAGAGATACAGGGAGACAGAGAGAAAAAATCCCAAGCAGGTTCTGTGCTGTCATCACAGAGCCCAGTGTAGGGCTCGATCTCACAGACTATGAAATCATGACCTGAGCCAAAATGAAGATTCAGGTGCTTAACTGACTGAGTCACTCAGGTGCCCCTGATTTCATTTTCTTGCAGGCAACTTGTAATTTTAAAACATACATATTAGTAAAGTTGGCTTTGACTTTATCCATTTTTATCATGACTACCCCAAATGAGAGAGAGCTTTTGTCTCTCCCTTAAATATCATCAGCTTGTTTTTTCCACTGCTTTTGGTGCTTCAGCTGGCTTATCCACAGCAATAAAGAAATTAGTGTATCTTCCTAACATTATATGTAAGAATTCTTCTGGTCTTCTAAAATATTTTTAATGTTTATTTATTTTTGAGAGCAAGAGTATGCACAGAAGGGGAGGGGCAGAGAGAGACACACACACACACACACACACACACACACACAGAATCTGAAGCAGGCTCTGAGCTCCGGGCTATCAGCACAGAGCCCAATGTGGGGCTCAAACCCCCAAACTGTGGTATCATGACCTGAGCCAAAGTCTAACGCTCAACTGACTGAGCCACCCAGGTGCTGCATCTTATAGTTTTCTAAATAGGAGTCAGCAACATTGAAAGAATTTAGAACTTTTCCTTTATTTTTATGTAAAACAAAACCAATTATCTCTAATCCTGTTAATTTTTATTATTTTAATTGAGGTATAATTGACATATAGCATCCTATTTCAGGTTACAACATAATGATTCAATATTTGTATATATTATGAAATGATCACCACGGTAAGTCAGGATAACATCTGCCATCAAACACGGTTCCAAAGTTTTAGTTTTTATTCTCATAAGGACTCTTGAGTTCTATTCTTTTAGCAACTTTCAAATACACATACCAGTGTCATTAACTATAGTCGCCAAATCCTTTTTAGAAGGTGGGATATTAATGACCAAAATAATTTTATAGATCACTGCTTCTACACTTCAGTGAGCATCAGAATCGCCTGGAGTTGAGACAGATTGCCGAGCCCTGCCCCTGGGATTCTGATCCCAGTGCTGCTGAGGCTGCTGGTCCTTGGACAGCATATCCAGCACACTGAATAGCCCCTCTAGTCAAGAGATTCTCTAGCTTCCCCTGGATTGCTTCTCAAAGTGGTCCCCCATCATGAAGAGCAGCTTGTTGATTCCCAGTGTGGAACGACTGATGGAAAATGATAATAAGTAACTAGTAGTATCATATGAAGGATCTTAAGTAATAACAAATTTTAAAATTCTGTCATTAAAATTAATAAATTTTTACAGCATGGGTGCCCACTAGGAAAAATAAAAGGGCACTAAATATGTATATCAAAATCTGACCTGTCCCCACATTCCAGATCCGCACTCCCACTTTGCCAAATCAACCATGTTTCAGTATCTTGTTCAAGTATATGAATTTCACATTTTGAAAGAAGTTGATATATGCCCTTCACATAGTTTGTACCAGTTTATTCTTACTTATTCCTCTGCACTTGGATAGTATCAGGCAATATCAAAATCGTGATCTGTCCATCTGATATGTGAAAAGCAAGCTCTAATGTTTGTCTTATTTTATGTTGTATATAATTATGAGAGAAGCTAAACAACTTTCAGTAGCAAAACCATGGACAGCCTTTAGTTTAGTGCAGATGGATGACCAGTCTATAAACTCAACTTCATAATTTCTTTTAAGCAAAAGTGTCTGCTTTTCTTGTTCACCTGTTGACAACTTCCTTTTGATGAACTTTGCCTCCCAAAGTATTTCAACTCCTTTTGGATGAAAAGAAGTAAGTGTGGTGACCCCTGTAGTCTGTCCTATCCCTCATTTCCCCCAAGAAATTCTATTTTTATGTCATTCCTTTGGGGAACGAAGGAGATGATAAACGTTTGCTGATGGTATTTTATATAGAAAATGAAACATCTCCAAACACAAGCTTTGCTTATGGGAAATGTCAATTTAGCAAAACCTAAATGATAGGAAGTTAAACTTTGACTGTGGTACCATTACCAAAGCAGAATTTTCCTCAGCTTGTTTATTGGGATTCACTTGAAAGAAACATACACACATACACACACTCACACACACACACCTCAGGCTGCTTTTTGAAATCAAATGCATTTCCTGCCTTCTTCTTTCCTCGGTGCTCTTACGACCAGCCTATTTATAGCCCAGGAAAGGAAAAAGCCCCACTGGAGGCAGGAAAACTAAGTTCAGAAAGAATAGGAGGAAGTGTGCCTGCCATTTAGCCAAACAACCTTTAATTCATTGAGCTCAAAGCCTCGCAGCTTCACTGTGGTTGTTAGGCGTAAACAGCTTGCAAATTTGAATTTTTTTTCTCTCCCCACTTTTGACCAGCACTGGGGCAATGGAGGTGATGGCAGTGTTTCCAAAGACAGACCAGAAATCTCTAGGTGTTTGCACACAGGGGAGAGAAACTTGTTAGGGGTTGGAAAGTGGAAAGAGACAATTCAACAGAGGGATGAGCTTGAATGATTCCCCGTCTGTGAATTAAGGTAAGTGTCATTTTTAAGACTGTCCATTGTTATGTCTATGTTATTATACTATGATGCATATCATGAGTAGTGGATATTAGCCAGAGACAGTATATATGCTTTGAAGCAAGTCCTCATGAAAAACTCACAAGCTTGTTTATATTTCTGAAGAAATGTAGAAATCAGTCTCAGTTCTGACATCTTCAGTTTTTAACAATGGTGTATATATATATATATTTTTTAAATAGTATTTGTTTCCTTAAGATAGCTTTATCTCCATTAAGTCTTCTTCGGTTTCATTATCACCAGGGGATTAAATAGTATGTAAATACTTTTGCTGAAGATCATTTTTGAAAAGTAATTTCTAGGATTTGTCTCTTTATTCTTTTCAAAGTGCTGATTAACGATCCATGTAGCATTTCTTGGATCAGTACTGGTTTAGAATTTATTTACACAGGCTCTCAAGCAAAAATAGTCAACTTTAGAAAAGTTACTTTAACTAAAAGTTAAATTTTGTAGAAAAGTAAGTGAAGATAAAGTTTTTGTTGTTGTTGTTGTTGTTGTTTTTAACACAAAGCTTCTCCAGGACATCCATTTTCAAACAAAGGAGAACCTTCTAGAAGCACCACAATACCACTGAACAGCTCCAGTGATAGAAACCGCTCAACCGCTCAAAATATTCATTTAGCATGCATTTTCTGAGTGACCTGAAAAAATGCCACTAGGTTTGGAAGTGGAAAGGTGGAAATGTTAAATCCAAGAACAGTTGATGTTGCCCACAAAAACATGGAAAGCTCCTAGGGACATTCCGAATTCTTTGAACATTCCTTGCTGTCAGACAAGTACATTTGTTTAAATGATGAGCCATATTTGCGTCCACCCCTGATAACTACCCCCCATTTGTGTCCTGCAGTAACTTGATGAACGTTGTCACAGTGACAACAAAGGAATACGTCTCTAGTGGTCTATCGAAAAGAAAAAGCAGAAGGAAATGTGTTGCTGTCATTTTGGCTTATCCTAGCTCGAGATTGGTATGTTTAGAATCTGTCGCGAGAAGACACCAAAGCGGGAAGCCAGAATAGGCTGAGCCAGCCAGATTGTAACTGGTGCAAGGAGCCAAGACACGGTTGTGCCTCCATGTGGACCTCACTGGCTATTCTCCTTCCTAGGAAAATTTAAGGGTTATTATTCTTTTTTTCTGTTTAGAAAATTACAATTCATTCCTTGGAAATGGTAGCAAAGTGTAGTATTCTTGAATAGAGAGAGCCAGTTTTCTTAGTTGAACTTAAACCATAAAAATAAAGAAAGAAAGAACATTAATCTGGGTAAATACGATGGATCTGAAGAAATGAGTCAAACAAACTCTTAGCACTTGTTTCCAAGACACTCCAGTGCCACAAAGGCAGTTCTGAATCCATTTTATTTTTCCATAAACTGAAATCCAGGGAAAACTGATTAATTGCTACTCCACGTGGGGCAGGTGATAGAGATGTTGCTTACAGTGGTCCTGGTTCCTGTGAATGTTGAGCTCCTTGCCTTTACAGTTTCAAAACAACTTTTTCATTTGACACACTTTCACATTTACATTATGAGGGTAAAAACGTTTTAAATAAGATCGAAGGTTTAACTAACAGAGACAATTAGGAGTTATGTATTTTATTCTAAGAACATGTCTTTTTTTTCACGTTGAGAAGTCCTATGTTTGATTGTTGGTTTCTGGATGCCTGCAGATGCTCATAAATGTATTCATGCAGTACCAGTTACTTAAAATAGATTTGGGGGAGGGGATTGTTTTAATTGTTTCTTGATGCTTTTTCAAGCTCCCGAGTGTATTTTATGTTAGAGTTAGCTAATTTGGAAAAAAAAATTATGAGCTTTTTTGTTTTTTAGCTTCTCTATTAAAGATTGTTTGGTTTCCAGCATGACTCTTATTTACTGTGTGTTTGTAGGTTACATTATTGAGCCACTGCTGGGCCTCACATTTAAATATAAGTGAAATCAGATTGCTGAAGAGATAGTATGAACCGGTGACAAATTGAAATGTCACTAAATGTAATCCACGGCTTGTAGGATACTTGAAATGGTGTGAGGAGAAGCATGCCAAGGTCAGACAGCTGTGCCCACCTGGCCTGAGGCTGTGGGGACAGGGAGAGTTGTGTATTGGTTTTAGTGTGTCTGAGAGTACCTTAAGTCCAGGTAAGTGGCCTCTGGAGGTTTTCTGTCTCTTCTGCTCTCATCCGTTCACACTCTATGTTACAGGTTTACAGCAGCACCACACCACCAAAGCATGTTTATGAAGTTTTCTTAGTTACACTGCAGTCTTTCCCTTTGGTAACTCCACATTACTCAGAGAAAGGGAATTCTATAAGACACAAAGCATCTTATACCAAATTAATGACAAGTATTAACCAGAGAAGTGATGTACATAGTGGGTACCAGAGGAGGAGGTCCTGATTTAAGCAGGCTTCATGGAGGTATGAGGTTAAGCTGACATCACAGGACAGAAGATCTGATGGTACAGCGAGAGATGAGTGTCCAACACAAGATTGGAGCTGTGCGCGTGGGCAGGGACAGGAATGTTTGGTGTGCCCAAGGAATAGGGGTGTCCAATGAAAAACAGGATTCCCAGTTACACATGAATTTCAGATCAACAACAAACTTTTTTGAGTATAAGTGTCTCCTATTGCACAAGTGTGTATGAAGCCTATGGCGTGGGACATACGTATTCAAAGAAGTTACTTGTTGTTTATCTAACATTCACATGTAACTGGGTATCCTCTGTTTACATTTCCTAAATCTGGCAACCGTACCAGGGAGCTGTGTGGCAACAGCTTGACAGACGCAGGGACAGTGAGCATAAGGAGCAAGATAGAAGCGTCTGGAGGAGGTTGGAATCAGACTGGTGGGACTGTAATGCCAGACAGAGGAGTTCAGAATCCAATTTGAAGCCCTTGGGAAGCCAGTGAGGGGCTTCGAAGAGGGAAATGACATCAGTGAGATTTACCCATTCAAGGCAGGGCCTGGTGGGGTGAAGAGAGCAGGTTTCTGAGGCCTGGCGACAACAGAGAGAAGGAAACCAGATGGAGACACATTAGAGGACAAATCGTCATGCTTTGTAAACTAATTGGCTATGGTTATAGGAAGAGAGGAAGTGTTACAGAGGATGTTATGTTTTATGGTCTATTCTAAGAAATAGCCAATCAGAGAGGGAGCAGCAGGTCAGGGAGTTAGTGAGGGAGAGGAGGGTTTTGGTTTCAGGCCTATAAAATGTGATGTGGTGGGATAGTCAGGTAGAAATGGTAAGTGAACAGCTGGACATGGGAAACAGCTTAAGAGGGAGGTGAGAAGCAGAAGAGATAACGGGCAGCATTTCTTTTGTGCTAAGCCTTTTATGTCCAGTCTCTTGTTGAATGCATACAGCCACCCATGGGCAGGTTGTATTACTAGCCACATTTTATAAATGAGGAAACTAACACTTGGAAAGATTAAGTAACATGTTCAGGACCAGCTAGCTAGTGAAAGGCAGGTAGAGAATGGAATGCAGGTGTGTAAGAGGCCAAAGCCCACGTGCCTGCTAATTCCCATGGAAAACATCGAGTATCTGCTCTGGATTCAGTTTTTGCAAAGATCTAAAGAAACCGACTTTCCATACTATACCCAGTTATTATATATATACATTTTTTTTTTTTGAGAGGGAGAGAGAGTGTGTGAGTAGGGGAAAGGGAGAGAGGGAATGTTAAGCAGTCTCCATGCTCAGCACCAAGCCCTATGCGAGGCTCAGTCTTACAGCCCTGGGATCATGACCTGAGCTGAAATCAAGAGATGGATGCTCAACCGACTTAGCCACCCACCTATGTCACCTGATTTTTAACTGGATTCTTGGTCTTTAATTTCTTTTACCTGTGGTAGCTCTCAGAATTCTGCACCTTTTAGTTAATCTCACTGAGGAAAAGGGAAGAGTTTATACTCAGAGATTTTCGTGTTTACTTATTTGTACATTCATTTTATTTCTAAAGTTCGTCTTCCATTCAGTGCCTCATTTTTTACTTTTCATTACTTATTGGTGAAGTAGATGTTGAAAACAGAGAATGTTAAACTCCTTACTCTAGCCTGGGTTGCCCTCTAGTGGCGGCCCCAGGTAACGATGCTTAGGCCAGGCAGGGACCGCCCAGGCAGCCTCTAGAAGCAAGTTCCTTACTAAACCAATAGTTCACAGAATCACTGTAGAATCATCTGTGGGCTCCTCAGTGGTTTGGAAGCTAGTTGTGCCAGGAGATTCTGGAAAATGACTTTGTGGAATTACATACCCCCTTCCAGCTGGCTGGCATTAAGGGCATTTTGAATAGACCAGTGTTATATATTTATCTTAAACTTTGTAATCATTAAAAAACATGTCACTTTTTTTTATCTTGTTAGGAAGGTACATATTATCAAGTTTGGTTATTAAGCTTTTAATGCACATATGTGCTTTTATTGTTAAGAAAGCTTCCTAAGTCTTTTATTCCAAATATTTACTTCAAGATACACAATATAGTTTTTAGTCAAAAGTGAATAATCTGTCTTTGAGGAATATATCCTAAGAAAATACTCTTAGACCAAAACAAAAGTGTATATGAAAGAATGCTTACCTATTAGTAGTGGACAAATTTTTTGGACAAATAAACAGTAAAACCTTGGTTTGCAGCATAATTTGCTCTGGAAGCGTTTGTAATCCAAAGCGCTCATTTATCAAAGCGAATTTCAAGAACCATTGGTCCAGGTGTGATCATGTGACATTAGGCATCATGTACTACTCGTATTGCAAGACATCGCTCGTTTATCAAATTAAAATTTATTAGAAATGTTTGCTCATCTTGTGAAACACTCGCAGAAAAAGTTACTCGCAATCCAAGGTTTTACTGTACAAAGAAAATAAGGAAATTGTTAAATAATATTCCACAGTGTGGAATTTTATATAGCTGTTAAATTATATTAAACTATGTACTGTTTATACTAAACGCTAAATGAAAAAGAGAAGACAA